GGCACTCAAGGACAAACAGATAAGGGTCTCAGCTGACAGATACGTATAGTGCGTGGACCTGCAAGAAGACCACACTTTTCTCGGGCCATTATCTCCGTAACCGTTCAACTTTGGACATAGGTGTTTTGGGTTATATCGGCATACTTTAACATAAGGAACACCTTCCCGAAGTTTGGCACATTCCTCCTGGGACACCCTGTATATTTATTTACATCCTGTATATAAATTGTTTAATATATGCTTCAATGTTTGATTATAACAGGGTACTACAATAAACAAACAGAACCTTAATGCAATCTAAACTCACTAAAGACTCTCTTGTCTCTCTCTCTATTCCTCTCCTAACTGGGATTCTATTCTGGAAGGCATGTTTGATTGCTAAATATGAAAGATCAAAAATGTATTCACAGCATTAATTTTCTTCAAGTATCTGAAAAACTTACAGAGAAAGTGTACTGAACATAAAATGTCTCTCATCTTTCTCTGCAACTTATGTCTGAAACATTCGTCTCTCATACAAATATTTAGCGACACAGACAGAAATGAATGTAGGCTTTCATGTAAACTTTCATTAAACATTTCTGATCTACTCAAAACTTACATAATTGCTGGGAACTTGGGATTACTGGGTTTTTTACATCCACTATCCAGTATTCTACAGAACACAACATTTTGGAAACTGGATCTGTTCCCATCCTTGGGTGAGGGGATGGGAGACACCTACTCTGTTTGGTCCATTAGAAAGAGCTAACATCAAGCAATTGAATTTTCCCACATAATATTTCAACAGTATCTGTGGAAAGGTGTATGGAATACATGAAAGAGTCTTTTTTGACTTCATGTAAACCAGGCCTTATTGTGGAGCAATGTGGCTCAAAATCAGAATTCCCCAAACAAATTTGTGAAAGTCTCCCATATAAAATTTGAAGAAAATCTGTCGAATGGTATACAAGTAGGTGCTAACACTAGGTCAGAGAGACTACAGATATGACTTCCAGTCCTCACTTTTAGCCTACTTTCCTTTTTTAAGAAAATGAATGTAGGCTTATGAGATCACCTTGCTGTTTGTTGTGTCTGTTTCCTCCCTAAAAACATTGGAATACTTACTTGAGACAAGCAGCCCTAAGGAGGAAATGGCTGGAGAACAGCACTGAGAGACCTAACCCACAAGGAACGAACACAGGACATAATCAGAAACAGAAGTCAAGACAAATATCATAATGTGGCTATAGACATCAGAGGCACACCCAGAGAGGGAAGAAATAGTGGCATGCCTACAGACTGTTCAGGATGAGCAGCCTGAAAGAGGGAGCAATGTGACAAGAAGCTTGAAAGCCAGAACAGTGGATCCAGAAGAGATGGCCATTGCTAGGCAGTGGCTCAGTAACCATATTCCTGCAGTAATGACTACACATGCAACAACTGCCATATCAAATACTCAGTCTGTAGTGAAAGGAGAGGAGGCAATTAGTACTTCCCATAACTTCTTGGTATTGTCTCATGCAATGTAGTGTGTTGATAAAAAAAATGCAATCTCAAGATTTTAATGGACCTACATGTCTGATGCGCCCCTCAATAAGAAAAAGTGATTGCGATGTGCCATCTGTCTGTATGTATGTATAGATGTGCGCCTTGCTAGTGTCCGACAGGTAGGATGGACTTCACCCATATTTCATATTCAAGGGTTTATCCACTATAGGTCGGTGACCAATGAACATTAATATTCCAGCTCCAAAACTTGGCCACAAAACAAAAAGATTTGGACTAAATTTCAGTAAAGTTTGGCATCATGTCCCTAAATAAATTTGTACAAAGCTATCTACAGGAAAATAATAATCCATGCATCAGCAGCCCTAAGTAAAAAAAAAAAAAGTAAAGCTATCACTGTAACAGGCCATGAAGGCACATAGGGTTGTGAGACGTTGAGGGTCCTACATTATCTAGACAGTCAGCTCAAAGATGGCGGTAAGGTTGTCAGCCTTACGCGCCGGCCGCGCTTTACTCCCCAGGAAAATTATTTATTTAATTCCTGGTACTCATTTCTGTTAGAGGCTATGTAAACCCCAGGGCCATAGTGCGGCTGGAAGGATTAGGTCAATTGAAAAAAATCCAATGACATCATCGGTATTTGAACCCACGACCTTCCAACTTGTAGCATAATGCAATACATTCGTTTTGTCAAAAAAAAAAAGGCTTTAACATTTGAACGGATTTCATGGTGGCTTGGTATGTAGCAACAAACAATGGTATACCAAGCAACAAGAGATTTCATTTCCAAGGTAAAATAATCAAGGTCAATCATATATGAGAAATTATGTGCCATGTCTTTGCATGGATTTACTTTGCAAAGAATGCCTAACATAACATCATTAAGAAGAACCATGCAGTGTCTTTATAACATTTGTGGAACTGCTAATCTATCTCCTGAAAGGCCATAAAAATTAGGATACATAGTTTGAAATTAATGCATAACTCAATTCAATTCTTTATTATTTATGTGCCGAGTCAACAGCCGCAAGGCCAATTACAGTCAGAGCACAGTGTAGATACAAGTAATTACATTATGGACAATCACAACATAAAGTCAAAGACAAATTACAGGCAAACACTGAAGGAAAAACACATTAATGCAGACAAGTAAACAAACAAACAAACAACAACAACAATAATAATAATAATAATAATTTCATTAACATAAATCTAAGTTGTTATTGAGAACTGAGAAATGAAATGTATAAACATACAACATCTCTGTATGATTTTGCTGTAGTTATGGCAGAATTAGCAGCCTCATGCCATGTTGATTGCACATGTGAGGGCACCTGTTTAGCTTGCGCAGTTGCGTCTTCATGGCTTCACTGTTGATTCTAAGCTGCTCAACTTCACTGCTGAGTTTCAACACCATCACGACGCATGATTGTACCACTTCCATGGTACAGATTCCATTAGTGCAAACTGTTTCCAGCTGCAAGGTGAGAGAATCTTTATCCCCTATACACAAAGCAGTACACCATAGCTCTGCAGAAATTGCTTCATTCTGGTAACGCTTGCAGAAGGAAAGCTCGTTTGTGGCATCCCCCATGAGTTTCATACAACTGTCACACTTGTAAGCAGACTTACTGGTGGTTTCACTCACAATGGTCTCCCACACACAAGTAGGCAGACAATTACAATGAAAGTGCAAATTGCACTCGACACACCGAATAGATTTTTGTTTACTGTAAAACAGCTTTTCACAGAGCAGACAGTGGTTCTTACTGGCCATACCTAATCAGCAGCACACAGAGATACACTAGGCACTCAAGTGGGTGGGAACACAAGCATGACACGTCCATACAGCTGGAGTGCTCGAGCCACAATAATAATAATATATAAATTCAGTGCCTGTAAGTTGACACAATGTTCAAATACAAATTGTATAACTTAAAAAATCCCCACAAAACACACAGGTCAAATACAAATGTTTAGAGCGATATACTGCATGTGTATGGGTGCGTGTGTGGGCAAGCAGAAAGCATAGCAAAACACAAACGTTTTAAAGTGATATATGTTCTAGGTTTTGTTGAGAACCGTAAACATTTCAGTGATATCTATCATGAGACTTGTGGTAAGTAGAGGCTTTCTACCCAAGGGTTGCAATTTCAGCAAACATGGCATAGATTTTTCAGCATATGCTGCTCCCAGGGGTTGGCACTAAAACAGTGAATAGATAAAGGAGGGTGATCAGCCATTAAGGAAGAAAATAAAAATGCATATCACATTTTGGGCATGAAATCTCATGAAAGGAGACGTGGATGACCTAACACTTATAAAATGGACCTTAGGTACATACGACGTGAAGTGGATTCAACTGGCTCTGCAGAGGGCTAACAGCAGGTTCCTTTGAACATGATAATGGACCCTCACCTTGCAAAAAGCCAGACACTTCTTTACCAATTCAGTCATTACTGACTTCTCAAAGTTTAATATGCACCACAGAATGAAGGTATACAATTAATTTTCTTTAAAATTTGTAACCGGAAAAGATAATGATCTCACAGTCAAATAAACATGAAGTATTAACAAACAAGTTACAGTCCATATCAGAAAAAGATCTAATTAAAGCTGCAGTTAGCTGCAGTTATAAGGAACCAGAACACAGATCCTACTCAGCAGGTTGAACAAGGGTTTTAATACACATACGATACACAGAATGTGTTTACTTCACCATGCACATTGTTTGTTTCTTACCTTGCTAGTGAATTTGAATTGGCTTGTATACCATTCCCTGGAGTTCCTTGTTTCAACATAGCTTTGAGTGTAGTCTGGGGTAATCTTGCCTTCATGTCAGGAATACTGCTTGGAGACAAAGAGTTCTTCTTTACATCATCAAGCAGATCTTGTCTCTTGGTTTTTGTTGATTTTGCCACACTATTCACAATGTCTTGAAAAATATTTCTGGTAGAAACTGAAGTTATTTCCTTCTCTGTAACATCTTCTTGCACATCACTGCCTTTTTCTGTCCTACAACTACCATTTTCAGACATGCTGTTCGTTTTCCCTTGTAGACACTCCAAAAATGACAATGGCCTGTGCTGTTTCTCTGCTTCAATTTGTTCAAAATTTTCTGAAACTTTCACAGCTGAACTCTGTATTTCACTTCTTTTTGTGTCTAATGGTGCAGGTGTATAATGTGGCAATATCATGCCTAAAGTAGAACCGGGCTTTCTTGTATTTTTAAATTGTACTGAATAAGAACCATTTCTTGCATCAAAAGTATGTGTTCCCTTGTCTCTCAGAGATCTACTGTTTATGACTACTGGATCCTTTGACTTTCTATATGTGGCTCCTGCTGGAAAGTAGTTTGTGCACGAAAAGTTCTTACCATCACGGGGTAAATTACACGAAGTACTCATTTCACTCAAAGATTTGCTATCATGATTTGACTTATGATCAATCAGATCTAACAGACCAAGCATTGAAGATGCCACTGTTTCACCTTCATGTGATGCTTTCAAACTTCTATTTTCATTACACTTTTCTCCTTGTTGTACATTTCCTACTGTTAATTTTGAATGCATGCCAGATGTACTTTTCTCCATTCTTTCGATCATTCCACAGCCAAGTGGCTTCTCATGACCATTTTGAAAATGTTCACCACATTCCTGGAAAACAAAATAATGGAAATGACTCAATAACAAACAAGGCACACATAGTTATTCACCCATCAGGCATCACAATAATAAAATTCAACACTACTATAAAGGAACAGCCTGCTACTTCCCCATATTCAAAGCAAGTTTAATCAAATATCTATCATACTATATTCCACTACATAGTATACTCAGTTACAAATGAGCAGACCATTCACTTTGCAGATAAACTATGGGACTTGCAAAATCCCATAATTCTTTACCATTACCCATTATACTTGTTTCAGTAATAAGTACCTATGATGCTTTACAATGATATTCAGTAGAATATTATATTTAAGCATCCTGTTACACTCTATATGATATATAATAAAAATTCCATCCTAAGTGTAACAATTTATTGTAGGTCTTTCATTTTGCCTTCTTCTACACTACATGTTTTGGCCGCAAACGGCCATCATCAGGTGTATACACTCAAAACACAGATCTTCTCAATTGTTCCCTTCGTCTTGCTAACAGAATCTACTTCGCTGATATGTCTGATTTGTACATTATCTTTGTTACCNAGACTGTACATCATCTCACCCTGATATAATTTTTTATTTTATTGATTTGCTTCTCTGTGGCATACAACTGAAAGGGAGTTGCTTTCTGATATTGGAGGAATATTTATCTCACTGTTTAATCAGGAGCATAATAAATAAATAACTACGAGACCCAAGTGACTTATGTGAGGGGGGGGGGGGTTGACTCTAGCATGGACGGTATTTCCAGACATCTGGATTGTGGATTGTTTTCAATTATCTGCACTACTTCTCTCCTTCATTACTGACAACACTCCACAATTATCTGTAGTCCATTTTAATGTTACTCTTCCAGTTTTCTCTTAAATTTCCCAATAGCCACCTTTGAAATTTCTTAATCCATGATACATATTCAGCTCATCATATCTAACTATAATAACACAACTAGATTATGCATACTGAACTAGTACATACTGTATCAAGTTTACTGCATATTGGTGAAACTGAGGATGCAGCAAAGTGGACATGCTATATACACATTACGAATAAAATTCCCCTCAGAACTATGTTACTAGCAAGGTCGGTCTTTAACATGGTGGCTGGGGTGTAAGGCTGACCTCATCACCATATGTGAGCCGACCGTCTAGAAAATGTGGGAGCCTTGACATCTCACAACCTTATGGGCCTGCATGTACTGTTACAGTGATAGCTCTACCTTTCCTTTTTGCATAAAAAATGAAAATGGGTGACCAACAACAAGTGGGAGACCAAGCACTAAGGGGAGCTATAAAAATCAGAGAAGGAAAGGCAGATGCAGATATAAGGCCAATATTTATGGGAAGACAGAGAAGACTGGAAGAGACTTTGTTATAAGATGACAGATCACTGTGAAGACGATGGATACTGCTAATTAAATAACTGAAACATGTTGCAGGCAAAATATGTCTTTCACAATAAATTCTGAATATTTTTACTGAAGCCAGTTAAATTTGTTTCCTTAATGGCTTCTGCTCACCATATACGAATAGGATTCTGTTTACTGCTGATGAAAGATACTGTCCAGAAGGCATATCCTAGTCACATGGGTTCTAAATGACAATGTCATTATGTAAATTAACGAAGTTTTGCTATTATCAAATGTACTAACTTGGAAGGGCATGTGGGTAAATGACTTGTCTCAAACAGGGATATGATATGAACACCTCACCATACAAGAAAATACACAGTTGAAACTTACATTTATATCTGTAGATGTCACTTCGGTCTCTCTTCTCATTTCCTTAATCTGGTATTCATTCTTTTTACCTTTCTTTGCCTGTTGAATACTGCATTCTCGAATGTAATCCTTTATGAAAACAAAAAAAAAAAAAAATAAAATAAACCTGCTGATTAGCAAAATTTATAAAAAGTCCATACACGTAAGTTAGCTCATAATATTGTATTGCAGCATCCTCTTGCACTGTGTCTTCTAACTTTAGCGCTCTACTTCACCATCTGTGTATGGTGATCTAACAGAGTCAGAATAACAGTGGATTACTTTGGTGTCAAGAACCTGGCATGCTATGTAACGTTCAGAGGGTCCAAAATGGACTTTGGAAATGAAATTTACTGTTGCTCGATACACCATTACCGGTAGCTGAATACCAGACTACAACGAAATCCATCTGAATGGTAAAGCATTTTGCATTTGGGCCCCTGGTTCATGTACCATTATTTTCCTCAAGGTACCAGTTTTATTTAGGACTACAGTCTCTATAAATTAGTATAATTTAATAAAAATCATTGCAGCAATTTTGAGGAAGTTTACATTTTGTGTTTTTGGGTCCAGTTAAAGAACCTCTGATGTGGCAGTGGAACGTTCACATTTACTGGGCACCAACCTGATGGGTAACGCTTGAATACCGAGTATGAATAAAATTTGTCCAATCAGGCACTAGTGTGATGCACACACATACTACATATAAAAAAATACTTTATAATCAGAGGGGGCTGCAGAACATGTAAATCCATCAAAATCTTGAAATCAATTATTTCCACCATCACTATACTTTCTCATGCATACTACATAAGATGGGGGTGAGGGGGAAATCAGCATAAGAACACCACATCATCTAAAAGTGACAGCTATTTATAAGTAACCATAAAGTGGCACTGAGGCAGGTTTTCTCCGAGTACTTCGGTTTCCCCTGCCAATCTTCATTCCACCAATTGCTCCACAATCACCCTCACCTATCATCTGGGGCTGGTACAATAGGCCAGAAGTGGCCACAGTACAAGGGACTTAGTCCCACCCCACTAGCAATAAAAAAAACTGATATGGTTGGGAAATAACAGAAAACACAAGTCACGCTGCCGTGTTCTGGAAACATAAATTTAATAAACTACAGCGGTGCACCAATCTACAAATGAAATTCTGTAACATTCCCAAGAATATAAGATTTGAGGTTTCCACGGTGGTGACTATGAAGAATGCCATCTTCTGGGATGTGGCATCGTGTAGACATTTTGTTAACTGATGTTTCGGAGGAACGTATCACCTCCATCTTCAGGGCATAAGGAATAGCCATGAGGATATTGGGTCATTGCTCTCGTGGTGACCTTCCGTTTCCCTTCCCCCTCCAACACGATCCTATACCTGCTCTGGCCTGCTACCTGCTGGCCCATCTCCCTAGACCCTTCCCCTCTCCTCTCTATTGATTTCCCATGTGACCCCTCTCCCCTCCCTTCATGTTCTTATATAGCTATGTGTCTTGACTGGCACTCAGTCTACAGACACCTGCTCACACTTGTTCATCACTCACAGATTTCTTATACCTTGAAGACGGAGGCAATACATTCCTCCAAAACATCGAAATACAAAATAGTTGTGTAGACTGCATACTTTATAGACCTTATTTATAACACACAACAGGATGCACACTATTAAGATCGTGACATCACTGTTCCACATATGCCAGTGGAAACTTGGGGGAAGAAGAAACCTGCGTGAAGAAGGGGAAGATAATGCATGGTGCAACGGAAACCACGTCACATACATTTCTGAGGGGTTAAAACTCTGAGGGTGTAAGTTGTTCACATTTAGAGCTTTCTCCTAGGCAAGGGCACTGCAAAGAATGTGGATTAATGGGACCTTTACAGGCTGCTATCCAGAAACAATGAAGGAAGCAAAACCTGGTGAAAGTCAGCAGCAAATTTAGCAGTCAGCCACTCAACAAGTATACTCTGTACAAAAAGTTATGTGTAAAAAGAGGCATCTAGTTAGGAAACAATTGTTACAATGAACATGCCAGAGAAAAGACCTAGTTTTATGTGATGGTTTTCCATAAGTACAACTGCCAGTTTTGATGGATGTTGATATAAGGAAGTCTTCATTATAAGCTGCACTAATTTTACTTAAATTTACCTGCATCACTTTCTTACAGTGAATTAATTTCCATGCCTCAGTTAAGAGTCAGAAATACAAAGAGGTACTACAGATCAATGGGTAACCTCAACAAACAATCAGCACTTTTAATTACTTCCTTTTCAGTCATCAGGCACATATATTCATGACTGTCATAATAAACAAGCAATTATGTTATTTCAGTATACTTCTATTTTCAGAAAGACTCATATTATAAATTGGAATTCCAGTAGCTCTTTGTCAACAGGGATACATGGATATAAAAAATAACTCCCCACTTTTACAACATAATACCTCATTTACTCCGAGACAAAATCACAGGGTTTTTGTGAAATGTTCAGCAACTCACAAAGTTTTCATTCCTTGCCTAGTGTGTATATTCATGTCAAACTGCTTTGTTTTCTTTCATATTTCAGGAGAAGTTTTTTTTCAGTGTCCTGTACATATTCATGATATTGTCGCAATAAACAAGAAATTTTAATATTTCAGTACACATTATGTTAGGAAAACAATGAACAAAGGGCAAATGTCCATACCTGCACATGCAAAGGTCCATGTATAAGAAAATTGCTAAAATGCCTCAACAATTTTCACAAATCTTTGAAGCATTACAATACTTGGTAATGTTAATCAAAGCAGTCATTTGTCAACTTTAAAATTTCACTGAGGAACAACAGAAGAAGAATAAATACCTGAATGTGGCGAAGCTTACTGGTGTCCCCCAATGAAGAGACGTGACTAGTGTTTTGGGTCCTGCTACCTTCAGAACAAACTGGGATCTGCGGTGATGGTGTCTGCATATTATACTTTTCCAGTTCTAAACATAAATACAATTACTTGGAAGCTTCACAGTAGTCTTTTACAATTTATAGAGCAGAATATGTACACACGATTACACAAATACCATTCATCACAACAGACACTGCTCTGTCTATGTTACAGTGAACAAGTCCAAGCCTGGTACATGGAAGAATGCCACGTTGAATCCACAGAAGTGAGAAAGATTTGATAAAATAAATAGATTTAAGTTAATTACAAACAATTTTAAAATTCTCGTTAGCGAATTAAGTCCTTGCAGAATTTAAAGATGATTCTCTTTGACAAAATGCTATTTGTCACATGATCTATAAGAACTATGAAACCACTATACTGAACTCAATAATTTAAAAGACATTATACAGTGGAATATTTGTGTATGCTAACGGCAGATGAATATCTCATACATCAAACCTGTTTCTCAAAAATTTTAAGTTTCATCATTATGAAACACAGTTTTATAATGCACATTCTGTTTATAAAATCAAACTGATAATAATGAAACCAATAAAATACTCTTGAAATTGCATCCTCTTTTTACAATAGTATTCTGAAACTACAAAACTGCTACAAAGACTTCAATTCATACGCATTTTCCGAAGAATCTACTGATACTGTCAAACCTAAAGACCCAACTGCTCCTTTCATGAAGAAAGCAGTCTTCTGGGATTTGGCACCGTGTGTATGTGGTGCTAACCAACGTTTCGGAGGAACGTATCACCACCATCTTCAGCTTTTACCGGTTCTCACGGTCTCTTCGCTTGCGGATTTCTTATATTTTTCCTTCCACCCTGAAGATGGTGGCAATACGTTCCTCCGAAATGTCGGTTAACACAACATATACATGGTGCCAAATCCCAGAAGACTGTTTTCTTCATAGTCACCGCCATGAGAGCCTCAAATCTTACATGCTCCTTTCATATTTATGCTTTTGTAATGTTTGTTGAAATTGTATTGTATTAATTAAAATGAGAGGATACTGTTCCATCTCTCTGGTATTTTAAGCTTCCAGTTCCAAAGTGTACACAGTCACTATGCCTGCCCCATAATACTTCTTACTCTGTAACTCATTTATTACACATGTGTAAGTCTTGAATTTTTAAAATAAAATCAAGACAAAATCTCAATCACAACTTGAACATCAATTTTTCAGTCCCAAACTTCAAGAATCTTCTGGTAACTATTCCTGTTTTGCATAATAGCATGCAACAGAATGACAGGTTGGCAAATCCTTCTCTCCATCATCCTTTCAGACTACAGAGAAAATTATATGGTCCCATAATTTAATTTTTTACAGAGATTTACAAACATTTTTCATTCATAAAGCATCTGTTTTCAGAAGGGACATGGCATACTCTTTAGTACACTAGTAGCTAGTGTTATAAACTGTGATTATGGTGAAAACATTAGTCTAACAGAGAAGATTCTCTTCTCACCTCATTTCTGGTTATTTTTTCAAATTCTTTTCTTGATTTCGTGTCAAACTGAAAAAGTCATTCTCACACATGCATATCATTTATAAAACTAATTCCACACCTTCTTCAAAAAGCTCCTCTGAGTATACTGCATATTCTTTAGTACACAGTTCATTAATCAGACTCAAGCTTTCATTTTCCACTTCCACAAATAAGTCACCATATATCTTCTTCCTGATATTCTTTTTGTATACAAGCCAGAAATTGGTAGATTCTTCCAAAAGTTTCTTGACAAACCTCCCAGCTGCAGGTGTCCAGTTACTTGCAACTCTGAAAGGAAGCAACCAAAGATTACATAATCTTAGTTCATACTCTTGCCCTGATCAAAATTGTCACTCCCACCCTCAGGTTTTGAAATCGCTCAATTTTCTTCCCATGCCCTACTGACATCTGTTGGACAGATCACTTCTTGTACTTCATCAGACCATACAATATGTGAGGGCCCTACTCCTTTCACATATTGGCTCCTGTTAGTGTGCTAGCTGTATCAACATAAGGTTTTATTTCTGGTTTGTGCGTGTAATGTCAGAGCAAAATCAGCATTTAGAAACTGCCTGAAAAAGGTTGCAAGATAGTTAGGATCTTTGTACTCTATACACAAAAACTCGTAATAAACTCCAGTTCAGTAATTTTTGGAAGTTTAAAACCACTATTGGGGATCATCAGTGTGTGTTTTGACATAACAGATCAACTACAGATTAGATCTTTTGCATCCGTCAGATACTGGAGAAAAAATGGGAGTACAATGAGACAGTACATCACCGTTTCGGAGACTTCGAGAAAGCCCATGTTTCAGTTAGGAAGGAAGTATTGTACAATATTCTGATAGTTTGGGATACCCATGACACTAGTTAAGCTGGTTAAAATGTGTTTAAACAAAACTTATATTAAAGTCCGTATAGGTAAACAGTTGTCTGATAAATTTACTATCCAGAATGGTCTAAGACAAGGAGATGCTTTATCACCACTCCTTTTCAACTTTACTTTAGAATATGCCATTAGGAAGGTCCAGGAAAGCCAGGTGGGACTGAAATTAAATGGGACATATCAGCTGTAGGTCTATGCCGATGATGTGAATCTACTAGGTGATAAGACACCATAAAGAAAACCACACAAACTTTAATTGACACAAGTCAGGTGGTTGGTCTAGAAGTTAACACAGAGAAAACTAAGTATATGTTGCTGTCTCATCACCAAAATGCAGGGTAAAATCATGACATAACGACAGGAAACAGATGTTTTGAAAATGTGACACAATTCAAATACTTGGGAACGATGATAACAAATCAAAACCTGATTCAGGAGGAAATTAAGAGGAGACTGAACTCTGGTAATGTTTGCTACCATTCAGTCAAGAACTTTTTGTCATCTCGTCTGCTGTCCAAAAATACAAAAATTAGAATATACAAAACTATAATTTTGCTTGTGGTTCTGTATGGGGGTGAAACTAGGTCTCTGACAATAAGGGAGGAACACAGACTGAGGGTATTTGAGAACAGGGTGTTGAGGAGAATATTTGGACTGAAGAGAGATGAAGTGGCAGGAGGTTGGAGAAAACTGCATAATGAGGAGGTTCATACCTTGTACTCTTCTCCAAGTATAGTTAGAATGATCAAGTCACGGAGGATGAGGTGGGCAGGACATGTAGCACGAATGGGGGCGATGAGGAATGCATATAGGATATTGGAGGGCAAGCCAGAAGGAAGGAGACCACTGGGAAGACCAAGGCGTAGGTGGGTAGACAATATTAAAATGGATCTTAGAGATAGGATGGGATGAGATGGATTGGATTGATCTGGCTCAGGATAGGGACCCGTGAAGGGCTCTTGTGAACACAGTAATGAACCTTCAGGTTCCATAAAATGCAGAGAAATTCTTGAGTAGCTGCAGATTTGGCTTCTCAAGAAGGGCTCAGCTCCATAAGTAAGTATAGGTGCATTACAGAATTCTTTCCATCACATTATACACCAATTAAGCATTACTGATTCCATGCAGACTCAGTCTTGGAACCAGCTTGAATATAATGGTAAAGGTAAAGCTGCCCCATTGCTTAATTAATTAAGCACTATGCTATGAACACATACAGGGGAGTGGAGATACAGCTCCACCATCCTTGACCTCGGCACTAGATGGAGGTGAGAGGTCAGCTTTTGCCCACGGGTAAATTGCCCCTAGCACTCACTGGAAAGGATGCTGTGTGGGCCCAGAGCCAATCTGGACACTGTGAAGAAGAGAAAAATCTTGCCCCTACCAGGATTGGAACCCCAGCTCTCCAGCCTGTAGTCCACAGTTATACCAACTGAGCTATCCCAACTCCTACTTCAATATAACATGGCCACCATTTTCAGAATCCAAAGACAGGGGGGGGATTGGTGTTGGCACCCATTTAAGTTCAAAATACACAACTGGCATATAGAAAAGTCAGATGGATGGCACATGTACAAAACACAGGAAGAAGAAAAATGGCTATAAATTATTAGTTGGAAGCCTTGAACAGAAAAAATATATTGGAAAATTTAGGCACAGATGGCAGGTTATCATTAAAATGGATGTTATGAAGAATTGATGGTGTAAACTGAATACAACTGACTCAGTACAGGATTCAGTGGTAGTGGTTATGGTAGCGAACCTCAGATTCTGTAAAGACAGGAGACTTCCGGGACCAGATGAATAGCTACCGTTTCTTGAGAAATCTAATCCACAAAATTAGTTACTTTACCACTGCAGATAAAGGCAAGGAAATGACAAAACAAATATATTACTTTGGAACAGATGTAAAATCTTACTATATACAATTTTCTATGCTCTGCCAGGCCATATCCATTAAATTCTTCACATGAACTGCTCCATGTGATCTTACACGTGACACTCGCAGAATGTAATTCATGAAACTGCAAAATACAGTACTTCTTGCAACCATGAAAAATAACTTTGAATAAATATAAGACAACAAGCATAAAGCATCATACTACACAGCCTTCTCAGAGAAAAAGGATAGTGAAATGTGATTATGAGCACAAATTTTCTCAGAAAACACTGACCTCTAGTTGGCCCAGTACTGTACCTTGGTAGGTTTCAGACAATATACTAAGGAGAAAACAACAAAGAACAGACACTACATGGAACACTGAGTCTTAATTTTCAACCACTGCACATACAGATCCTACTGTCACATTTTTATATTTCTGACTATAATCTTTTGACTTGGATTCATAAAGCCTGTAATATAATATTCTTGTAATTATTAATTCTTTGTTTATGTACTTTCAAATGCTACGACATGTGAAAGTCAAATGGGAAACAATGTGGAAGGAGGTAATCACAGTCTTAGAATATGAGACTGCCTCAACAGTTTCATGAAAGACTTGACAAAATAACAAGAAACTTCAGTCAGGATAGCAGCCCCCGGGACATGCTACTGACAGTAATACTCATCTGTTTATGTGATAACATACCCATATATTGAACTCTGTTAGGGGTGACCACTGTTTTTATCATCTGTGGAACATGAACTTTTATAACAGTGAACACGACAGTTCTTAGAATATGTGGATGAACCTTTCATACTTCAGTGCATCTCTGCTTGTCACAGTTATTAGGAATGAATGAATTAAAAACAATTAATGAAGGAATGGGTTCAGTGAGGTATACTCTAGAAAAAGTAATTAACGACAGGGAAAGAAAGTATGATTGAATGTGCTAAGGAGCTGGAGAACACGAGAATTAACAGCTAAAACTACAGTATCAATGGTCAGAGTTTAACTTATTCACCGTGAAAGTACTCTGAAGCATGTAGAGATGTACAACACAAAAAACCTTGGCACTAACCTGCACTGCTGGCAGTTTCGAAGTCCAAAACTGTGTAATTAAAAGTGTTCTGCCCCTAAAATGTATTCAATCAGAATTTTAATTGATGTTAACCACTTTAACTAGTTGTCTAGAAGCTCTTATTTCATTCTATAACTTCAATATAAAATCCAAGTATAGAACATGCATCGCACACATCTGCACAAGTCCATGGTTTGATGCTAAGAAAAAGTCAGTTCTGAGAGCTACTATTCTTAGATATAACAATAAAAATTCAAATGGACTGTGTTACCGAAATTACACAGTTCATTCAACGGATTTGCACCATTTAAACTAAGCTGCAACATCATCACTGCTCTAATACAATTCTAGTTGGCAGGCACCTGCAACAGTCTATCAAATATGTGGAAGTCATTCAGCCAGAAGGCATGTACTGCAGAATATAGCTCAAAATTAACAACCATACAAAACTTCTCTAAGGGGTGACAGACTGCTGTCTCAGCATAAGACAAAGCATTAGATTATTAGTCACAATCATGGCTTAATTATTGGCTGAAAATATTGTCACGTGTTTGGAATCCAGAAAGGTTACTTCCATAGAAACGCTATAACAGACCCCTGCATAGGAAGTAACAATAGCAGTATTGTAATTCTAACAGTGAGTCTCCACGTTTACAACAGACGGTTCATTGCATAGCAACGGCCACGGATATATAAGAAGGTAATGCATTAGCAAGGATAGTCTTGGGATGGTCGTGGTTGAAGACAGTAGGGATCCAGCCACAGCCAAGGACAGTTGAGATGTCGCATCCGCAGAAGGCGGTATAAGCACTGAAGTAGAGGCAGTAGTTGTGATACTGCAAGTGACAGTAATTGTATTCCTAACTCTAAGTGTGGATGAATGAGTTCAATAAATAACTGTTGAATCCAAAGGCTACGTGAAGTTATTCATCGTGTAACATACCCAACACGTGATAATATATATTGTGACACGACACTTAAAAGTTGGAATAGTGGAGCCAGAATTGATGACAAACACATGTCCATGGCAAAGGATATACACACAACAGAGGAACTGTTGGACACAGTGTTTCTATGTGGTCCATGTTGAGGCTCTGTATAGAGATCCACTGGGAAGTTAGCCAGCCAGGGATCAGAAGTTGTGAGATATCAGTCATCAGTTAGTTATGAGATGGTAACCAGCCAACAACGATATAAATATGAGAGAAGAATCTCCACTGCTGGGAACTATAACCAAGCAACAACTAACGAACACTATAACAGATTGAGACAGTGCATGCTGTACTGACTTGGTGTGTATATTAGTGGTTACATTATAATTATTTTTAGTTACAAGTTATATCTATTCAATAAATCCAATTATCAATTCAAATCCCATGTCTAGTCATTAACGCATGACAATACAAATTGTAAATTATAAACTTACAAAAAACAGAAATAAATGTCTAACAATCACTTTATATAATGATAACTCGGTTAATGAAAAGGTTTCAAGGAAAATGGCATCAAGTATGGACTTCATTTTTATTAATACAAGTGCATGAAATTTATCAAAATAATCTAATTGCACACTCTGATCTTAGAGCTTCCTACAAACTGTTATGTCACTCTGGTGGAATTATCAGACACTCCTTTTCCATGCTTGGACTGCAGAAATTTGGACTGCTAGTGCAATCAACGGACCTGATGCCTAACACATTTCAAATACAATGTAATCTATGTTATAGCAGATGCTGGAAATGCCTAGCACCAGTTTCTGTCACTGGCAAAAAGAATACCGTATTTACGCATGTATAGGCCGTGTGCATGTATAGGCCGCAGCACAATTTTCAGACAGAAATTATAGAAAAAATAATTTTCTTGGAATATTATTTCAGGAGTAGAAATTATTCTGAAATTTGGCAACGTTTAACGTTTTTTAAATGAAGTGTGATTTCGAATATTTCGAATATAAGCCGCACCCCAGTTTTCCTCTTGAATTTTTGGCAAAAAAATGTGCGGCCTATACATGCGTAAATACGGTACTTAAGACAAATTAGGCAAAACTGATGCTCAGCTTGAACATTCGCCTCTTAAGACTGTCAAACAAAAGTTTAGAAAAGAATTTCAATACATGAATGTAAATGTTTAGAGAGGTGCTCCTTCTGAAGATCTTTTTGACCAAAACAAGTAAAAGATGAAACATTAAATACACAACTTTTATCAACCACACTGGATGGTGCTAAAAATCTTATATACATTTATATGACATGCTTCATTCTACAAAAAAAAAAAAAATATCCCCAAAACCCTGTTCTACCAAAGAAAATACATTAACTGAAACATGCAAAGTATTAACAGTTACATTAATCATACTATACCTACTTTCTCTTCATTTTCATATCTTTGTAGTCCATGTCAACTGTCGTAGGTAAAATCCCATAAAGCACAACTTGGAATGACTGGTAGTCCAAGTCAACCCAGGCTGAAGGCAGCTTCCTGATTGCAGAGCTGCGCACTTTGATTGAAAGTCCATAATCCACAAGGAATACTTTGTACACATAGCCCTTAGCTTCATGTAACACATATTCCACTTCTGCTCTGTGCCAGCGACCTGTTTCAGGATGTTGCACAGCAACCAGCTGTAGTGAAATAAAGACAACAGTTTTTACACATTCCTTGCATTTGTATGAGATTAATGCATAACTGTAAGGTCATGTCTGAGCATCCACATGTTTATCTCTGGAACTACTGATTGGGATTTGACGGCATTTCATCCAGGGAAGTCAACACTAAACACTGTTAAGCAAATTTAAATTCTGCGCACATCAGCAAACTATACATTAAGAACAATCTGAAAGCTACCAAATTTCTCAAATAGGTTAACTGTATAAAAAACTGATAGATCATATTGTCTAGTGCCGGGAATCCGCAAGGTATACTTCCATGGAAATGCAATAACAGTGGGCCGTTGCCTAGGAATACCTTAAGCAACAAACGTGTTTCCCCAGAGTTGAAAGGACAACACAAAGGTTCGTTGCATGACAGCGGCCGAGACCAAAGGGTCCTACATGGTGCGCTATATTCTGTCCAAGACCAGGTTATAAAACTCCAGCTTCGAAAGGACCAGTTGAGTTGAATTGTGTTGACAGTGGACAGTTGAGATCCAGAAGTTGCCAAGAACAGTTCAGTTTGCATCTGATCTTAGAAGAGTAGTCACTCTTCAGCTTGGCTTTAACTATAGCAGAAGCTGTAACTGTGGTACTGAAAGTGATAATAACCATATTCACTATGGTAAAAGTGAGCGTTCAATAAATAAATTCGCCAAATCCTGTATGAATTTGTCGCGTTACACAGGCAACACGCGACACTGGTGTCAGAAGTGGGATTGCTTGGATTCTGGAAAGAAAAATTATTGGAACAAGAGCACAAGTGCTACATCACTGCTACAAAAAAAATGGAATCACAACAAATGATGGAACTCCTGTTGGCCATGCAAGAAGACATGAAAGCAAGCGGAGAAGAAATGAGAGTGGATAGGAATGCTAACCAAGAAAAACCAGATGCCAGATGAGAATAGACGATGCAACCGCTTCGGATGAACCAGGCAAAGATGGACGCCTGGTTAGCGGACATTAAGGGTTTTCAGAAAGAGACGATGGCCTGCCAAATGATGGAGGCACATCTGGAAGACAAAAGCCAACCTCACCTGAGGTGGCCCAAAAAGAAGAGGCTCCCGTAGAAGATGCTGAAATAATGCCGGTTGGAGGACCAATGACTCATTGTAGGGACTGAAAGACAGCTGCAGGAAAGGTAAAGGATTGAACCCAGAATCAGGATGAGGGCCGAAAACAACTGGCCGTCGCCTGCAGAGGGACGAGCTGCCATATGAAAGTGGCACAGTAGAAGATAAAGGAAACCAACTGGAAGGTGTCTACATTCTATCCGAGACCAGGTTACAAATGTCCAGCTTCGAAGGGACCAGTTGAGTTCCAGAAGTTGCCGAGAACAGTTCAGTTTGAATCTGATCTTAGAAGAGTAGTCAGTCTTCAGTTTGGCTTTGACTATAGCAGAAGCAGAAAGTGTGATACTGAAAGTGACAATAATTGTACTCACTAATGTAAAAGTGAGCATTCAATAAACATATTCGCCAAATCCGAAACCTGTGTGAATTTATTTCTTGCATTACATAGGCAACATGCAACAATATATTTCGTAATTCTCATTAAGACCTATAACTTTTATTTGAAAGAATTTTGATATGATACATTATTTCTAATAAAGAAGTCCAAATAATGTTGGATCTGAAGTTCTCACTGCAGTGATTAGAATGCTGTGTAGTCCAATGAAAATCAACCAACAATCTACCTGCTACATGCTTCATCCTGGTTTCTCCCTCGGCTTATTCTTTGGCCCTGAAGAATAGGGTGGCATACTCTTCTAAAATGTGAGTTGATTTTCAATAGACTACATAGCATTATAACTTCCAAAACATTCTTACGTAAATATAATGCCTAACTGTGCAGTAAAATATCTGTCAGTGTGACTGGTTTTGCAACATTAGATTTGCATCTACAATAAATGCGCATCAAAGAAAACGAGGTATGCAATATGGCAGAGAATGCATTTTGATGTGTATACTATACGGGAGTACATCTTTCCATTAATTTTAATATTTACATACTGATAATTTACCACACTTTACAATCCCACATCTCACTGAACTTGTGAAAAATCAATAACTGACATATTAATGAATCTTTTAACCATTTATGTCATTTAAATGGCCTACACTGGCTACTATAGTTTGCAATAAAATCATTTCCTCCCCTTTGTTCAAGCCTAGCTTCCCTTAAAATGCCATTTGGTGTTTCAATTCCCCTATTTTTTTAGCTCAGTAATAACCCCACATGTTAATTTAGTTAAAATTCTATTAATATATTTCTATGTGGAATGGCAACCCCCTGAAATTTATGCCAGAATCTGCTACCTGCATTCCTTGCAGAACCATTTTCCACATATATATTACACATGAACGATCATTCTAATATGGATTTTACATATGGTAAACGCAGTAAAATGAGTTAACGCAACATAATGATGAGGATATATGTGTGGGCTGGGAAAGAACACACAAGTTTGCTTCACAAGTAGCTATTCTAAGATCTGCTGTGACAAAATTAAAGAAAAATTTAATAAATTCACTGCTAGACTCAAACATTCCCCAGACAACAATAGACAGCATTTTCAGTGTCTGTCTTTATCTGGATAGCTTTTATTTGTAAACTTTAGGCTACAGGTTTGTCATTTTCACTAGCAGTCCAAATCTCTGCCAAATGAAGCAGATGACAGGAACACCCTCCAAACTGAGAAGTTCAACATTTGGTGGGTCACTGTCTGAATTCAATTCTGTTCAGTGTCAGGTAATTCTGTCTACCAATTCATGCACAAAACAAATCCAGCATTAATTTCATGCCAGGACTCCTGAAAAAATTAATTCGTAATATACAAGTTCCTATTTTATTCAAAAGACTAAAATTAACTTATGAAATATTAGTGATTCAAAAAGCATTTCTAGAAAATTTTCAGAACTTGATCAGATAAATAATTTTAGTTGTATATATTTTTGAGTCATTCTCAAGAAAGTGACTGCTAAGACTCAAATTCTGCCAGTGAGAACAAAAGTGAAAAAATGTACTACAGACTTGAGTTTCCATGTTTTACAAGTATCTCTGATGCTTTGCATACCTCATTGGCCTTGATGCTCATGTACAGCAGATACAAATTTACTATTGTAAAGCAAATCATGTTAGATATCAATTGCATGGATTCATATATTACATTTGCTTTTGGTTAAAAAAATGTTATATAACAACATTTACAAACCTTAATTATATAGCTATAGTGAAAGTCCAATTTAATGATAATCTGTATCGGCATGAAAAATTCACGATATAATGAACATTCATTAAAGGAAGTTTTAACAAGGGAATGTAGAAATAGCTCCAAAAATCAAATAGTGAATATCTCAGTAATCTGACAGTAATCAATGAGACCATGGAAGATTATAGGGGAATTAAGAGTTTCCTGAAAAGTGAGTCACCAGTCACACTAGACAGAACTGCTTAAATTTTCATGATATTGTTAAGTGTAATGGACCAGAATGAAACAAATCAAATTAAGAGTTATTCTATTACATAAATGGACACTTAGCATAACATATTGGGGTCTCAACCAGCACTGCATGGAAAATCTGTTGTGATAACTTCTCACTGTTTCCATACAAAATGCAGGTGAGTCAACCACTGTCAGAAGATGGAATAACAAGATATTCCACTTTTGGGAGGGACTATAGAACACTACTGAAGGACAATCTTGGTGTCTTAAATGACACACGGTTCCCCAAAACACACACCTGGATGGTTGCAATAATGACCAATATGTCTGATTTTGGACATCTGTGAATCCACGGCTTACCACTGCCAATCCACTACATCAAGATAAGAGTTACAGTACAGTGTGCATCGCTGAGTATCTGAATATTCAGCCCCATGTTCATCAATTGTAGTCGATTCTGATGTTCACCTAAGTCCACCGACTGCTCAACTTGTCCTGTTCCTTATGGGACATGGCATTCCAAATTCAGCCTGGCTTCAACATAACGGAGCCAGATCTCACACTAAAAATGCCATACTTCACTTTCTTTATTACGTTTTTAGGACAATCCTGTCAAACCAGCAATATGTGCTACCTGAGGCAGGACTTTCATGGACACCAACTTAACCAGAATTAAACCCTTGTGATTATCTATGGGATACTTGAAGGATCAGGTGTTTAAGAAAAATGCAAAAACAATTCTGAAACTGAAAACTGCCATCCAATCACAGTCGGAAGAAATTTCTACAGGAATTTTAACCAAGGTTCTGAACAATTTTGTTCTTTGTTTGCATAAAGTTTTTCTGATCTTATGGGACGTTGTATGGCATATATTTCAGTGTAACAAACAAATTTCCCAAGTGTGTAAAACAATCTATGAAAGCTTCACATAATTACATCCAATTACAAAGAAATTTTACAGATTTTAAAGCCTGAGATATTAAAAAAACCTGTATAATTACATGAAACACTGAATTTACACTTCATAACATTATGGGTAAAAATAAGCAAAACATTATAGTGTTAACCAATAATTTTAAGTTACATTTAAATATGAATTCAAATTCATAAGACTTAAAAAATGTAGATGTTCATACATCTAAAGTCAGTACAGGTTTGATAATCAATGCATGAAAAGAAATCTCACCTCTTCTTCTTCAGGCATGTAATTTACGCCCTCATAGCTACGACGACAATGCCCCGAAAGCATTTCTTCAAGACAAGTAAGCTTTTCTCTTTCCTTTGTCATATCCTGCCCCAGTGGCTCAGTCACCCAGAACGTTGAAGGATTCACCATATGCATCACTGATACAGGGAAAGCATTTGCTGGAAGAGCATCATCTTCAGCCATTTTAATTCAGAACTGAGAGAAAAAATATTCATTCATTCTTTTATTAATCCTGTACATCATGATACAATGATATAGGACAAGTCTTTCAACTAATATACATTATTAAATTACAACAATCTTAACACTAAAAAATTATATAAAATATACAACATTTTATACAGTATATACTATATACTTCTGCTTATGTCAATAACAAATATTCGAGAATTCATCGTTCAAATGGTCCTCAGTTCAGTAATAGCACCTCTGAATAAGTAACTTCTTCAATTCCCTTGTGAACTGATTTTTGTTTTCCTTTATGTTGTTAGGCAATTTGCTGTAAAAGATACAGTCAGCTACTGAAGGATTACTATTATAAAGTTCTAAGTTGTGCCCATCACAATTACAAAAAAAAAAAAGAAAAGAGAATAAGTTAGGAAATGTACACATGGCACAACAATTTTGGAAAATTTCTTCTTCTATTGTCATTGCCAAGATTTTAATCTCTCTTACAAATAGTGTGAAACAGGTGAGATAGATGGGCAGACAGGCACAAGGATGTACAGACACAAAGCCTATTCCTTTTTATGTTAATTTGGGCTCTTAAATAGACCTACAATTTTACCAAAATCAGCAAAATGGCTCCTAGGTCATGGTATGACACAGCATAAAAATCAACTCTGTTCAGTGATCTCAAAGATAACATACTGTACTGTACATAAAATTTGTGCCAAGTTTTTCTATACAATATACATTCAAACATTTTTCACCCCAGTAATTGTTCAGAAAGCTAAACTCTGGATGCAATCAGATAAGCATGTAAGTCTTCTTCTAAAGCATCCATTTTTCATAAAGTTCCCCAGTACCAAATTTCATGACAATCTGGTCAGTGGTTCTTCAGTTGTTACCTGCAAACAGCTGCACAATCATGGAGAAACTAACAGGCACATTATTCCAACTTTTCATTGCAAAAATGACTTGTAACAATCAGAATCCAAAGATGTATTTATACGGACAAAAAATTTTTCAGTATTCTACTGAGTTCCTGTTTTTAGCAGCTGATCAAACAGAGAGCACCCAAACATGTTATGAAATTTACTATTCGAAGCACATAAGAGAGCAAAGTTTGTTATAGCAACATGTGAGCGCCGGTTTACACTTTGTGGATGTGGTTCAAACAATCTTGACCAACTTGTTTTTAATTACACAAGTAAACTTGAATTTCTACTTATCTTCATGCTTACATACAGTGATGAAAAAATAATTCATTTTATTATATATTTGCTGTAATTCCTTCTGATCTGTGACAGAAAGATTTTTGCTGTGAATGTTGTGAACAGTTGCTTGATGCCATATACAGTAAAACTTGGTTATAGCAACATCGGTTTCTGCGACACCTTGTCTATTGCATCAAATATTCAATGGTACGAACTAATTCCTCATAAAGCAACTGTTTTTATACCTTGCTTAGTACAACATGCACAAATGCATCAACCTCGTATGTAACGTCATTTTCATTCCTGAATTTCTCTGATATGGACATTGAACGTAATTTAGAAAGTGTGTATTGGGCAAGTAACAGGAAACAGATGAAGATAACTGATTACCGTACTCGTATCTAGGTACAGTAAGGCACAACAATTGATGTAATCTACTGTAATTTGGTGAGTAGGCCTACCTTTAATATATAGTATTAGTGCGGTGTGTATTGTCAGTGAAAAGCGCTGTAATATGTCTTTGATATTACACATTTGGGCAATTCCACGTTAATGTTACATTAGTCTGTACTTAACTACGTTTTTCACTAAAAATGCAACATTTTAACTCGGTTTTTGGTAGATTTTTACGTGACTAACATAAGGCTACTGTGGAAGTGCCCATTTCGGTTATGACATTCGTTTATAACGACATTATTTTTAGGTCCCTTTGATGACGTTATAACCAAGTTCTACTGTACTTACAGGCAGCTTGCTGCATTGTCTACAAACATTTCCCTGTCGATGAATTTCAAAATTCTCATAAAAATGATTGCGTGGTGTACTTACTTTTTGACAAGTCATGTTATTTCTTTCACCCTGCCCAAATCATTACATCGCTCTTTCTTTGACCAAATCATAGGCATGGGTGTATTAGTTATCATGCCATGTGTTACCGATCAAAATGCAGAGTACTTCGCCTAATAGTTAAGTTTTATAAAAATGAATGATAACAGATTATTGTATAGTCCCAATGCCGACGATTGGGAACGTTTCATTTTTTTTTTTTTTTTTGCTAAGAAACTAAATATAGGATGGTCAGACAATAATTCTCTGAGATTGTTGTTCTTAAGTGTTATTATATTCGGTTACTGTAATACTGCGGTATTACAACGAAAGCAATGATACCCGCACAAAGTACGGGGTCTTCTAATAGCTTAAAATAAAAGTTACAAAATTTATTAAGCTCTACCTCTCACGTCATTTACCTGTTCCATGCAATATAAACAAGTGATAAAACATGGAAGCTAAATTTGAACGCCATTTAAGATGATCCAAGGAACCAGCCCCATGAAAGAACATATATACATGTTCATTAAAGAATGGACAGTACCTGGGAAAAATGAAGCTGTGCCTTCAATCAGATTATATATATTTACCCACACAAGAAATTATTCCACATCTAACCACAGTACGAAACACAATTATTTCACAAACATTCACGTTCCTCCATGGGGGTCACTGCAGCCACCGTAGATAGCGTAGGTAGGCATCTAGAATACGCTAACATGAGTACTATTGCCAACCGGCAGGAGCAAACATTCACTAACAAGAAATCTCATGCCTCTCCACGCCCTCAACGCTCCATGCCACAGGGATTTTAACTGTGAATGCACTTATAATTGTTATAGTCTGTGATTGTAATCGAAGGATGAAGTACATATTTTCTCGGCCAATTTTTTTGTTCGCATCTCTAAAATGTTTATGAGGTTCTGAATAAATTAAAATGGCCGGAAAGGAGTTGTCCAAGTCAATCTTGGAAATGAAAGTATGTATAAATTTCATTTATAGGTAAAAGTACAGATTATGGTATTGATTCTCAGAAGGAAGACGACTCCTTTGACCCCACGCCGCATAATTAGTATTAGGCAATTAAAGCACTTGAACTAAAACCGGCAGTCTGTCTCTTATGGTAGGATATGCACGGTATTCTGTACTTTACAAGATTCTGTTTTATCATCAATCTTATCAACTTCCCGACGAAGACCTGAGATGCTTGATCAAGAACGGGGCACAGTACTTAGCTGTTTATTTAATTTGTGTAAAATTGATTCTGAAGATTTTTCCCGCTTCTATCCTGCAATGAAGAAATTTTGAGACCTTACCAACAATTAGAAGACTTAAAGAATGTGAGGAAGACAAAGATGACCTTTTTTATTTTGTGTGAGATAAATTTTAAACATTTGTGCCTCCCATATCTGTCCTCGTGGAATATTTTGTGGAGAACTCCTTGAGTGATCATTTAGCCATGCTTTCATTTAATTTATTAACCTTCCATAAGTCCCGTCGAGAATACATTCTCATGCAGATGTGGAGATCATCCTAGTTACAGTCAAAACTAAGAATTACAGTTGTCATCCAGTAGCATACACATTTGTAATAAAATGCTGATAAACATATAGAATATAATAAATAACTTAATTTTAGTAGTAAAAGTAATGGCAAAACTTATACAATTTGTACAATTTAATACAAGTGTATTAATTAAAAATTCAATAGTTAAAACACAATGTCATTAATGAGTTTTGTATAACATACATTAATAGTATAATAAATTGAATTAAAGACTAGTATGCAGTGATATAAAGATTGTGTATATCTAAAATAAGCAACTAAAAACCAGAACACAGACTGACAGTCTTGTCTTCTTTTAATTGTAAAGCAAGACAACTACTTGCATCTTAAAAAGATTTATAACCAAAATATTCCTGTAAAGTATAAAAAGAATGTAAATATAAAAATTGTTTTAATTGTACCTCAAAACTCTAGTGTCACTCGATATATCCTTAATATGTTGTGGTAGATTATTATAGACCTTTGCTCCTAAACAGTAAACTCCCTTTTGGTATTTACTCAAATTTACAATAGGCTGATGGAGATTATTTTCCACGAATCTCTGAATTTACTATGAATTTGTTTCTGTTTTTTATCACAAAGAGCATAAGAGATTGTTTCTGTTTTTTATCACAAAGAGCATAAGAGATAGTATGTACTGAGATGCCAGAGGTAAGATTTCTAATTCTCTAAATAAGTTCCTGCACGAATCCCTTCTTCTGTGTCCAAACATAATTCTAATTATATTCTTTTGCATTCTAAAAATGTTTATACTTTGGGGTGAGTTACCCCAAAAGGGTAAACCATAATTTATAATAGAATTAAAATAAGAGCGATAAACCATTTTTAAGGTATTTATGGATGTGTGTGGTTTAAGCAATGTTATTTCTTATTATTTCTGTATGTCCCACTTCTCTCAGAAGTGAGCATAAATATCACATTTTGACTGACCATTAGAATATGGTGATGTGTGCATGATGTTCTTGCTCTTAAGAACATGGTACCTCATTTTGCAGTACAAATTTGTGCCAGTGAAATATGAGTGGGCCATGGGGTGGAGTATGGTATGTGGAGCATTATTTTTTGGGGTAACTCTTGGTACGCCATCAATGTCTTTCTTATGCAAAAGAGGGCAGTGAGACTAATAACTGGTGCTGGTAATAGAAACTCATGTAAAACAATATTCACTACTCTAAAAATTCTTACTCTTTCATCTTTGTATATTTATTCGCTACTATCTTTTGTGGTTGCTAGCATGGATCAATATTATTTTGTATCTGATATACATAATAGAGACACTAGACAGGTACGCAACCTAAATCTATATCGACCCTCAACTCGTTTATCATTATATCAAATAGACTCATATTATATGGGCATCAAACTATTCAATTGTCTCCCACTAAATTTGAAGCACATATGTAAAGATATTAAACAGTTTAAATTAAAATTAAAAGAATTCTTGAGTTGTCACCCATTTTATACTGTCAAAAATTTCATTAGGTTGGTTTCATTTCTAGTGGGATAGGTTCATTCACTAATTCCCTTTATTTTCCATATATCCATACAGGTAACAAACCTAGGATGTGGAAATGGTCCATTTGAAAATAATATATATCAAGATATATATACAAAATTACATGAGTCACATAATCAAAATCACTTACATTAATCGATTAACATTAATAATATAAAGTAAAAAATTAATAATATTTTAATTAATAAACGTAATTTAAAAATAACTTGCTATAAAACTTGAATTAATACAATTGTATTTAAATTACCTATATTAACCGAATTAAATACATTACAAATTTACACACTTATGACCAATTATGTTGATAACATTCATTCATGGAATAAAAAGAATGATGATATAAAAACTTCTTCAGTGCAAATTTAGAACTTCTCTCATCAGTAGCCTACATTTTTATTGTTTGAGGAAGGTGATTAAAATTGTGGTGGACAAAGTGGCACGGGGGTGGGTTTTCTCCAAGTACTTCGGTTTCCCCTGCCAATCGTCATTCCACCAATTGCTCCACAATTATCCTCACCTATAATCTTGGGCTGGTACAATAGGCCAGAAGTGGCCACAGCACAAGGGACTTAGTCCCACCCCACTAGCAGTAAAAAAAATAATTAAAAACTTTAATACCTGATATGTATGCGCCTTTATTGTATTTTGTTAGGTTAATTGTGGGTAAATATAAATTATTGAGGGCTTTAGTTTTATATTTGTGAATTTCATTGTTAAAATTAAATAAATGTTTATTATTAATTGTGTATAAAAGCAATGAATGTATGTACTGAGAGTAGAACATTATTTCAAAATTCTTAAAAATGTCCCTACAAGACTCCCTTGGTCTAGAATTAAAAGGTTATTATGCATTCATGGGCACAACAGAAAAGAGATTTCCTGCTGGACCCCCTCAGAATTCAGTGATTTTCTGTGAGGTTATAGTCCAAGTGGAAATAAGTATTCCTGCCAAGTTTTGCTCCTTATGGCCACTCAAATTTCAGAGCAGACATCCATAGTTTGTCAAAAAGAACTCATATTTGGGGAACAGATTTTCTTAGAAAAGTGCCCTAATTAAGATTCAGATCTAAATACAAAGCAAGTAAAATGCCCTTTCCATTGTCTTATTATGTAATATATTCAGGACAGTCATGTTTCAAGGTCTTCAGATTTGACCTTTCACCTTGTGTTTCTTAACATATAGAGGTTTTCTGGGGAGGGATGCTTTGTGTGCATGTATTCCGTCCGTATTCCGTATTGAAGGGGTGGGTTTCCCCATGCACTTAGACCAATTACTGGTCCATTGTGCATCCCCCTTTAATTTCTACTGTCTCCATACCCTACCGGTACTGGTACTTACTATCAGCCCCTTTTTGTGTGCATGTAACTATTATTTAAAACATTTGCAAGTATAAAGTTGGCATAGCAATGGGATTGGGTTTTGTGAAGCATTTTCTGTGAACAGTAATCTCACTTGTATTGATAAGCCAACATAAAGAAACATGTTTCCTTTGAATTCTTTTATTAAATAATGTGTTGTGTTATATAATTTATTGTTAGATTTATAAGTATTGATAGTTGTTTAGTTGTACTTCTGCATGATGTTGTTGTTGTTGTTGTTGTTATTGGAGAGGGTAGGTTTCCCAATGCACTTAGACCAGATATTGGTCCATTGTGCGTCCCCCTTCACTATTCTACCAGCCTCTATCTATACCCTACCGGTACTGGTGCGTGCCATCAGTCCCAACTCAGCCAGCGAGTACGGCCTCTACTGGCTCAGCGTATCTCGATGCTTCCTCCATCTACCAGAGGCGTTAGAGACTACTGTTGGGCGGGAAATGTCCTTACTTTGGCTCAGAGGTCCCCTTCAGACATGAGGTTCTTTTACGTGCTGTAAACCTACGACACAGGACCCACGGCTTAAAGTCCCTCCCGGAGGACTTGTTCCCTGAATTTTTCCGCCCTTAAAAATTCCACGACCTGAGCTGGGTTTGAACCCGCGTACCTGGAATCACGAGGTGGGAATGTTACCCCTAGACTATGGAGGCCGCTACTTCTGCATGTTACTTGTACAGTTCATAGGGGTGTTGATATAGTGTTATCAGTGCTCTTATCTGCAATATGTAGAGGGTGTATTATTATATATGATTATATTTTGTGTTTCTGTGTGTTTTTTACATTAGTTTACTTTCTATGAACATTAAGATGTTAATTAATTTTATTTCAAGGTTAATTTATTTTAATTAGAAAATACAACATTCACACACGATACATAATTTTGACATACAGTGCAACGATTTTAGCAAGATAGACAACATGTAGTCAGTCATACATGAGGTTTTCATGTTTTCCTCATTCTCTCCAAGCAGATGGATTAGTGCCTTAAAATAGGCCAGAGCCAATACCACGTTCTTTCCAACTGTCCATTTACAGTCATTTTAACATGTAACCTGTTTTCTTGGATACTGTCATTAAATAGATAACCTAGACTGTGAATATTTATTAACATTGTTCCAGTAATTACTTTTTAAATTAACAGTTCATGAAGAGAAGCAAAGAAAAAGCACAAAGGAAACAAGATGCTGAAGAGAGCCAGGCCATGTTTTCAGATGTCATTACAGAGGATATGAAACGTGGAGAGTAAGTTTAGAAAGTAAATGTATGTTTTTATGAGATTGAACATCTACAGCAGGGGTCTCCAAACTTTTCAAACCGCGGGCACATTAGGTAATTCAGCACTTCAAACGGGCTAGATAAATGAGGTGTATGAGTTCTATTGAAAGCACAGAATTTCATAAACTAAATACAAAGTATGTGAGAATAAATTATTGTATATTAATGACAACAGACAGTAGCAGCAAATGCTCATATTTTCATCACAAATTATATTAAAACAATTAATGTGAATGATGGAACTCTTTTTGCATTCTTAAAATCTGATTAAATTGAGGTTCACATTTTGAAACGCTAATCACAAACAAGTATCGACTTTAAATGTTCGTCGGATAAATTTGCCCTGTATTTCGACTTGATGTACTTCATCTGGGAAAAACGTTTGTTCACACAGATACGTCGTCCAAAAAATGGAGATAAATTTACAAGCAAATTTCTTTAAATTTGGAAATTGCTCAGAGTTCAGAAATTTATAAAATTCGATCAAATTCCTTCCTTGTATTTGACTTTAATATGATAATTTTCCTGAAGTTCAGTAATTTCCATTTTAATTTGACATCTACAGCATCACAGTCAAACGGATTTTGAAACGATCTAATTTCCTGAGCACTGGCATCCAAATCAGCAAATCACTTCCGAAATTGTTCTTTCAAATCTAAAATGACTAAATTTGCAAACAAGGAAGGAAATTCTGCTTCACCCTTTTTATGCAGCTCTGCACGGTATAGCATATAAACAAAGTTACAGTTTTTCACTTGCCTTTCCAGAAGTATCAGCTTTTCTCTGAATGTCTTGATAGGTGCAAATAAATCACAGACTAAGTTATTTTCACCCTGCAACTTTAAATTCAAATGGTTCATATGGTTCACCAGATCAGCAAAGAATGCTAATTTCCAAAGGCACTCGGTATCTGATAAAAGTGTTTCGTGATGGTTTTTCTCTGTAAGAAATATATCGATTTCATTCCTGAGCTGAAAGAAGCGTGAAAGAACCTTTCCACAGCTAAGCCATCGAACTGCAGTATAATATGTCAGGTCAATAAGCTCGGAATCACATTTACCAGTACTCACTGGAAAATTAGTTCAATTGGCACACTTCTGCACAATCTTTCGCAGACCAGATAAAATCACATCGCGGGCCGCATGTGGCCCACAGGCCGTAGTTTGGAGACCCTTGATCTATAGTATAATGAGATATTCAGAGGTTTTTATTTATTGCTTTATTATTCCACACATGATGCAGGATAAGAGAGTAATGACAACCATTCATGCAGTGTTATGTTTTCTAATACTAGTGGAACTTTATCACTTCAGAAAATGCTCATTGCCAGTTGTCAATAAATAGCTTATAATGTACAAATAATATGTTTCTGGACATTATCCATCGTCTGGAGGTAGGGACTAGCTCCATCAACTGGACCCAAACTGAGTAGATTTTACCTGAAGATGGAGATGGAATCCAGTCTCCAAAACGCTGTGTTTTGTAACATAAATGGGAAGGTGTTTTGTTTTTAGATAAAGAAAGGACAGTGGATAATGTCCAGAAACATAATATTTGTACTAATGTACCATTGTCACAAACCGTTAGATCTTATTTAGGTTTTATTATGACATGAAAGCCAGAGGAGACAGCCATTGCTAGACAACGGCTGGTAAAACATGACTCCATAGCAATGAATAAACAAATAAAGGAGCCATCACTAGGCAGAAGTCCATTTACATGTCACACAACAATAGAGGAATTGTTGGGGACAGTGTTTTCTATTCAGTTCATCCCAAGGTTCTGTAACAAGCACCAGTGGGACAAGCGGAGAAGTACCCATTGTTGGGAGCCATTACCTAGCAATGCCTATCGAAGACATAGAAGACTTAATGTTTGCTGCAGCACAATGTTTTTTAGAGTGTGTAGATCCATGAAACTGTTACAGTTACCTGGGGTCACAATCTGTAAGTGCTGCGTAAATCCAGTTATTGATCAGAACCTTATGTCCAGTTACAAACACATGACCACATATATGAATTCTTTTTCCTATGCATCTACTACAAAACACTATCATTCTAACTAGGTTAGTTAGGCATCTATGTTGAAGAATTCTGATATGATTTTCAGTGGTTGAACTTCTTCATTTATTGCATATACTTATCTGATACTGCAAAGGTATGACTGTGAACTACACACTACAGGGTTCTAGATTATTAATCATTGAACTTCATTAATATTGTCTTGTGTCTGTGACTAAACACAGAGTTTGGATTCAATAGTGAATTTATTGAATACCTGATATTTGTAACCACAAATGGTTCCAGTACTTTCACTGTTCTGCACACTCTACAAATAACTACAGCACACCCCAAGTCTTCCTGGTCTGCCATATGTTCACTAGTCATTGCTTGGTAGCAACTCCTAATGATGGGGATTCCTCTGTTTCCGTGCTCAACAGCTCATGGCAAACCACCGATCATGACTGCTGATTCAACTACTGTCCTGGTCCCCTTGGTCCTCATATAAATTTGGCAGAGACTGCATAAAAAACACTGCTTTGAGCAGTTCTTTTGCTGTTGCATGTGTATTTGTCATTGCTGGAACGTGTTTACTGAGCCATTGCCCAGCAATGGACGTCTCTTTTTGCTCCACTATTCCAGCTGTCAGGCATCATTTCACAATATATTCTGTTTTGGACACTAACATACTTGTACATTTTTTCTGTTTGCCACCATGGTACTGCATAGTATGCTTTGAGAATGAAACAGTTACTAAGCAATTTAACGTCAACAAAATCAGAGACAAAGACACAGAAAACTGGAGAGACTGGATAGAGATCTAACATTATGTTTATTATTACCAAATTCTTGTAATGAACGATTATTGAGCAGTATTATAAGTTTTAATTTAAGCTTTACATAAAATATAAGTTATATTTTACCAACGTGGACCAAAATAAAATTCACTGGACAACTTATGGCACTCAGTACAAAATTTAATAAAATCCATTCATTTGAGATGACATGTGCAAGCAGATTGGCTGAACTTCCCCCATTCATGTATGCTGTTTGTGTGAAAAAAAAATTAACTCCATGGGGGAGGTCAAAAAATTCCCTATTTATTATGGAGTCTGAAAGTTTTTTACCATGTATGAAAGAGCTTACCTTTGTATCTCCTGAGTTTTTTAAATGCATAATTAATTTAAATTAATTACTTATAAAAACGATGTTGGTTTTGACTATGTAATTTGTTTATAATTTTTATATATGTGTTTCATCTTTCAGGTGTAAATATGTAATTGAACCGAGCTTCGTCCAGTGTGAGAACCTGATAGTAGGACGACTCTCTTTTCTTGGAATGAATCCAGAGATAGAAAGAATCCTGGAGTTAGAACAAAAAGCTAATTATGTGAAAAAGGAGAATGAGAAAGATATTTCTGATTTTGAAATGGCAAATCGATATGACACACTGGTGGGGACAGTTAGTCGCAAGTTCAGCACTAAGAGAGATCACAGAAATCTACAAGAATATGACCCTCCACAAAGTAAAAAGGAAATGAAGTTTCTGAAACCGTCATGTGATTAATGCAAAACTTAATTTTTCTAATGATTTCCTGTTATCCTTTGTAAATATTGCCAGCCTATATAATTCTGATATGTTTGGGTGCCTGTAAACCATCTGAATTTTTTTATAAAGTGACGTTTAAAGGTAATATATTGATGTCTCATCACCAGAGTACAGGACAAAATCATAATATACAGATAGCTAATAGAGCATTTGAAAGTTTGCAGAGTTAAAAAATTTGTGAATGATGGTAACAAATCAAAATTAGATTAATGAGGAAATTAGATTAAATTCAGGTAGTGTTTCTTACCATTGAGTTCAGAAACTTCTTTTGTTCTTGCCTGTTTTCTGCAGATGTGAAGATTATAATATACTAAACTGATTTTTCCTCTAGTTCTGTATTATTGTGAAACCTGGTATCCAGTATTCCATGTTAAGGAAAGGTTGAGAACAGGGCTTTGGTGGGAAAATGTGAAGGAAAAAATAGTATGATACAAGTTCTCTTTGACACTATATCCAGACTAGTCCTGAAGCCCAGCCAGCCTCCTGTCCAGTGTGTACCAGGAACTCTTCCACTGGGATGTAAATTGGCTAGAGCATGAAGATTGCTACTCATCTGCATCTAGAGAAAGTGTTAAGAATGTGGTGAGGTTTATCTCTACTCCATCACAGGGGCAAGTTTACATTTTTCTGTATAGAAGATTTTATGTTATTTCATTATGCAGTTTCTTGTTGTGAGGAAATTTTAAATTGGATGCATTAGTTTTTAATACTGACAGCAAAAAGAATATATTTGATTGAGACTAAAATCATAGACCAAAACCTGAAGAGTTTCTACTGATTGTTAGGTAGAAGATAATATACTCACTCATGGAGCTGAGCCTTTCCTGAGAAGCTGCCAATTGTGCAGCCACTCAAGAGCAACAAAGTGAAATATCATGATCTATCATACAGTACTGACGTATGTAAGAAATTGAAGATCAGTATTATAGTTGACGTGATAAGTATGCATAGGATCAGAATTATATTGTGCTCAATGGAAATAAATTAAATTTTAATAGAGTGCCAATGTATGTGAGTTCAAAATGTTCTGCAGTGATTTCTTTGAAATGTTGTGTTGGCTGCACTGCTTAATTTGCATGTAGGTAGAAACACGAACTCCCTATGTGAATATGAAATACTTTGAACCTTGACCAGCCAATTATAGTGTTGTAGCAGAGTTAACATGGTCACTCCCTTAAGTACCAAAGAACAGCAGTGTGTAATTATATGATTTTGGAGGGCCGAAAGTGTACTAGACAGAAATTCATCACAGACTTTCAACACAATAAGGAAACAATCCAATTCTCCATAGGCATTATCACCAGTACGGGTACAATAGAACATATGGAAGCTGATGTGCCGAGGGGACCTAATATGGATCTCACACTATACGAACTCTTAACTATTGTAATCTACTGTAATCTTTTGTAAACAATTGTAAGTATTGTAACTTTATTCTCTTATTGTAATCAGCCAATGTACAGTAACTGACTTGTCCTATATCATGTAACAATGATCTGTAGAGATGAAATAAATAAATAATAAATTAATCAAACTGAGGAGGCTGCTATAGACGTCAGGAATCCATTGAGACAACTATTCAACATCACTGTGAGGCGTGCTTGGGAAGTATTTTCAGACCTCTGTTGTGATGTACATGTACATATCCCTACCACACACAATGTGCATAAAAACAGGTGGTCTAAAGTGATGATTGAAAATTCTACAAAAGGAGAATTTGCTTTCTTTGTTCCTTTATTTAATTGCAAGTAAGGAGATTGATTGACAAATGATGTTAAAAGGAATTATTTCCATTTTGTGAAGATAAACAATTAGAATAATATGAGGCCACATCAGTGTAAAACCTTAATAGCTCCAAAACGGGGGGTAAAAATAAAACTATTCACTTTCAGCTCCACTTGATCTTAACAACCTCCTTAGGTATTGTGTTAGAACTCTGAATTTACCTGAATTGTATTGTATTGTATTGTATTTTATATTCATCCATTTTGCTACATAGTAACACTTGGACAAGTCATTTGGCAATACAAGTTAACAAAACAAATCTACAAAGTTACAAGCATACTACCAAAATTTGTTACAATCATAAGCAATATATATTTATTTATTTATTTCGTCTCTATAGATCATTGTTACGTGATATAGGACAAGTCAGATACTATACATTGGCTGATTACAATAAGAGAATAAAGCCACAATACTTAAAATTGTTTACAATAGAGTACCCTAGTTAATATTTCATATAGTGTGAGGTGGAATCCATATTAGGTCCCCTCGGCACATTGGCTTCCATATGTCCTATTGTACCTGTACTGGTGATAATGCTTATGGAGAATTTGATGGAATGAGGATTGGCAGGGGAAACCGAAGTACTTGGGGAAAACCTGCCCCAGCGCCACTTTGTCCATCACAAATCCCACTTGACTAGACCGCAGCGGTGGGAAGCCAGTGACTAACCGCTTAAGCTATGGCGCAGCCTTTGAGGTAATATTGGTGAATTTGGTGATAGCACTGGTATAGCGTTTCACTGTAGACTCTACACTGCAGCATCTCACTACATTTGTTCTCCCTTCCTGGTGCAGCCTCATGGTATCTGCAATCTCTCCAGGGTAGCCCATTCAGGTACATCTGGTGATAACACTGGTATAACGTTTCACTGTAGAATCTACACTNGTAGAGGTAATATATGTAGTGATTTGAAAATTTTTTTACAACTAATCGTTTTTGGGACCTAGGTCATAGCTCTTATAGCTCTCTTCTGTAATTTAAAGATCAATTTTGCATTTACTGAGTTGCCCCAAAATATCAGTATGTATCATAACAAAGATTGGAAATGAGCATAATATAATGTGCAG